CTGACATAAAAGTAGATAAATTGGAGTTCCTCTGTAAAATTGAGGTTTTTTTTTAGGTGTGTGTTTCAAAGAATATCATCAAGAAAGTGAAAATTCTACAGTAAAAAAATGTTTAAAGTTATATATTCAATTGAAACAATAGTAAAATGACAAAGAGCCCAGTTAAATATTGGGCAGAGGACTTGACGTGTCCTTTTTTTTTTTTTTTTCCAAAGAAAACACTGCAGTGCAAGTAAGAACACACACAAGTGATCAGCACTGCTCATTATTGGGGAAATGCAAAGCAACAATAAAGCAAGATCACACTTCACAGGCACTAGGATGGCTAAAATACAAAATGCAGACAAAGCAAGTGTTGACAAGGGTGTGGAGAAATTATAACTCGACATTGCTGGTGACAATATACAATTGTGCTATCACTTTGGAAAACAGTTCAGCAGTTTTTCAAAATATTAGATTGACAATGTAACCCAGGTATGATGCTTAACTGATGTCAACATGACTGTCAACATGAATGGATTTAGGAGCGCCTAGAAGATTGATCCAGCAACTTCTGGGTATCTGTACATGGTTCCAGAGATGACTGGCAGGTAGGCCAGCAAATGAGGGGGACAACTTGTTTTGACCATAGGAAGAGCCATCCAATACGCCTGGAGGACAAGACTGAAAGAGGCAAGAGGAGGATCCGGCTTGCTTGCAAGCTCAATTTGGCTTGAGGAAGTCCACTCTGTGTTTTCCTGTTTTAACTGCCGAACTCATTTTGCCAGGTGTCTTTTTTTTTTTTTTTTTCCTGGTACTGAAGATAGAATACAGGACATCTTCAGATTTTTTTGGTGAAGTATTTTGGGACAGGGTCTAGGTTGCCTAGACTATGCTCAAACTTGTGATCTTCCTGTCTCGATCTCCCAAAGTGCTGATAATACAGACATGCACCACTGCACATTGAGCCTTTTAATGCAGACTTGCAGCAGTGACTCTCCGGGACCTTCCAGGCCTTCAGCTTAGAGCTTAGAACCGGGCTACATCCTTGGTCCTTCTTGTTCTATGGCCTCCAGCTTCCTGGGCTGTGTAGTTCTTAGATCCTCCAGCTCATCAGTGTGCAGATGGCCACTGTGGACTCTGTGACGTTTGATCCTGTGAGATACCTAATAAGCCCCCTTCCTTGAGAGACCCCAAACCAACACACCCAGTAGTTCCATCCTGAGGTATATACAGAAGGTAATGAAAACAGGACTGCATACAAACTCACACGTCATAGCAGTACTTTTCCTAATAGTACCACAAAGCTAGTAATATAAACACTGGAGAGTTTTGGTTACTGCTCAGGGGGCTAGAAGTACAGGATCAAGCAGGAACAGCTCCTTCTGAGGGTTCTGAGAATCTATTCCATTGGCTGTCGTGGCCCATGCCTGTAATCCCAGCATTTTCGAGACCAAGGCAGAAAGATTACAAGTTTGAGCCCAGCCTGGGCAACTAAGCAACTTCACAAGACCCTGTCCTAGAAAGAAAATTAATAAGAGTGATGGTCCTGGCTTCAAGTCCCAGTACACCCTGCACTCCCCACGAAGGGTGGTCCTAGTCTGTCCAAGCCACACCAGGGGTGGCAGGTCCAGCAAATTCCCCGAAAGCTTCTGCTTGGGATGATCGATAGCATTTCTTCCTTTGGCATCAGTGCTGTGTATACGGTAACAGTTTCCATACCAAGTTGGCACACAATGTCTTTGCATGTGCAGGGTCTACCTTTTGGGCATCAAAGTCCTTGCTAAGGAAAGAACTGTTTCTCTTTTCAGCCCATACGTTAGTCAGTAATTTATCATTTTAACTTGGGTTCCTGTGTTTCAGTTCCAGTCTACATGGGAGCCAAGCAAAGGCTGCAAATTTCTCTGGCTTTAACAATGGGAAAATAAGTCACCTTTCTCATTACTGAAGAATGTGGAGGTTGCACTGTGATGTAAAACCATGTTCTTCTGTACTGACCAAAGACAGAGTTTATTTTCTAGCACTTTCAAAGCAGCAGATCCCTACATGTATGCACTAGTTAGCTTTCCACTGCTGTGACATATGCTTGAGATAAACAACTTATAAAAGGCAAGTTATAATGTAGTACAGTTTCTAACCATGGTGGCTTGACCCTTCCCCTTTGGGCCTGTAGTGATAAAACATTACGGCAGGGAGTATGGGCTCTAGGAAACTGTACCTCCTGGCAACTGAGGCATGGAACAGTAGGGGCGGGGCCAAAGTCCCCTTCCAGAGAATGCCACAATCCTCCATTCTATAAGTAATACTTCACCCTTGGATGGAAAAAAAGTCTGTATTTATTATTTTGACAAAGAGGAAAGAAATAAATAGCAATTGAATTTATTTGGAATTCATCGTATCATTAAAACTTAGAATAGCTCACTCTGTTCAGTATTTTTCCAAATTTCATTCACTTCTGTTCAAGTTTCTGCCAAATCACCTATTCTAATTGTTCCTGTGTTTTACAATGATTTATACTCTTTTACTGAATATTTTTGTTTTAAAAATACTTTGTTTGGGGAAAAATATACATCCAGACTGTAAATGCAGATGTCATCTGGGGCATCCAGGAGGGGCTTTTGTGGGGTACTGTTCCCTTGGTGGGGGGGTTCCCGCGGGTGGCCTTTCAAGACAGAAAAGGCCCTGGTAGGCAGGAAGAGGCAAGCAGGGCTGTGACTGCAGGAAATGTTCCCTTTGGGACCCATTCTTCCTTGTGGTTTTTCACTTGGGCTGCAGGTAGTGAACTGTGGTGCAAGAATGAAGATCTCAGAACTCCATGCTGCCTTGTGCCTCTGTTATTTAACGTGGACCCCCCCCCCCACTCCACCTCCTGAATTCATCTCTCTTTACATGGTATCATTATGCTTGCAGGTGGTAGAAACCTGCAGTTTGCAGAACAAGCCTTTATTTTCAGTCCCCAGAGGAGGTATTTTCCTCCTTAGCATCTACTCCCTGTGGCTATGTTCTGGCCTGGAACAATCCTGGAAAAAGACTGGCTTTGTGCTGTTGAATGTCTCTGTCTCTGTCAAAATCTTCCTAGACTTTGCTAATCTGTCTCCCATGCCTCACTTGTTCTTGTTTTTCTGGTTCTTTACTGTGTGGTCATGCAGTGTCACTAGCACGACCCTTTCTTCCTAGATGTCACACACTCTCTTAGAGTATCAGTGAGTTGGCCCAGCTCCTTGCCTTCAAGTTCTAAATGTTCCTGAGTGTCTTTCGCATGTGCATAACCACTTTCAACTCACCAGATCGGATGCAAATTTCCACCCTTTTCACATTTCTTTGAAAATCTTATATAAAAATTAGATGGTGGCAACACAGTGAGCAAGCTGGTTTCTCAAGGGTTTGAAGCTCGAGTGAAGGTCTTTCCTGTCAACTCTGTTAAGTGACTATGGGGGTCTTGAGTCTATACTAGGCAGAAAAGAATCAGTCCTCTGTCACACACAGCCCTTTCAATCTTCAGACAGGACAACAGAAAACCCAGAAACCTGGCCTCAAAAATTTTTCCCTTACCAATAAGCAGCCTCTATGGATTTCCTTAGAATCTCATTGATTTATCTGTGTAGCTATCGAAACATTTACTACAGCCCCTCTTGATTATTGTTATAATCTGTTTCTAGTGAAAATATTTACCCCTTGGTTTCTTGTAGCTTTTCTTATAGTATTAATTCTGACACTTAAATCAATGTGCCTCTTCACCCAACACAATGGTTCTTTCTTCTATTCCACATGGTCCTTAATCCCTGAGTCTGTCACCTGCCCTCCTATGATGATGAGAAAGCCATCTGAATCTTGAGCACTGAGACTTAAGTATCAGATGGGGAGGGGCAAGGGTTGCCCAGGGTCTGAGTTTGACCTGTTTCGGATAAAGGTGTGGACACTGCTGGCAGACCACTACCACAGCCTGCATTTCTCTAGCCTTGTCTCTAGCAGATAGCACAATTCCTTTTCACTGCACTTTTCCTGTCATAGCCCCATCCCCCTTTATGCTCACAATCCCATAAAAGACATAGTGAGACAGGAAGGTTAGGCGTGGCTAAAACTCGCTGGGAAAGGACAAGAAAGTGACAAGATCCTGGAACACAGGGGCAGAACAGTTCCCAAAGCTCTGTAGGCAGCCTTCTTGTGAGAACTTGAGTGCGTCTTCAACAGGACGGCCTTGATCTCATGTCAGCCTGAGGAATGGGTGATACAAAAATGACAGTCAGCATTGAGTTTTTGACATTATGTTCTCTCTT